TAATTAAAATTTCATGAACATTTTGCATTACACAGCTTTGAACAACCTCCTGAGACCAGTCTGGACTGTTTATTTTCCCTTTTTACACTATTTGTGCACTCATTTGCATACTTTATGTGTGTGTATGTGTATCAGTTTGCAAGACATTTAATACACCTGTCCCTAGTTTGTACCTCTGTACCACAACACTGCAAGCCATACTTTTCTGAAGTGTACATCACAGGCCATATTATCTTAACCCCGGAATGCAGTCTCTGATGAAAGACCTGACTGCTTTCATTGCTGAATATATAATGGCAATGAATCTACTAATAGTGCTCACAGATCTGATTGAATTTTGGAAACATTCTGTTTCCTCCCCTCCCTTCAGCACAGACCACAAGCAACACCTTAATCATCCTCTCTTACGTCTCCCCAACCGCCATGTCCCAGTTGCATCCCCCTCGGCCCATGCTCCATACTGCAGTTGCTATAACAAGATCCCAGGCTGGAATGTGTTTCAGGGTTAAATTGCAAATATAAAAATTGAGCTCACTGAAGTGATAAATGGAAAATTAAATATTTCATGATGAAAAAACGACAGTGTGTTTTTCTAAAGAAAGGTGAAGATAACCATAACCCACTTCAATCATTCAAGCTCAGGTAACAATAACTTCTATCAATCAGTGTGGCTGTAATTCACCTCACAAGCAATTATTGCTTATATAAATTAGATTTGAATGTGCTAAACACAAAAATCTCTGAAAACAGTGGGGTTGAATACATCTTTGCAGGCAATACAAACAATGTATGGATGCCATGTATATTTTTGTAGAATTAAGATGAGATTGAAAAGTAGATGCATTACTGAAAAGTAATGCATCTAACTAATTTGATCCGTTTAAGCTTTAGCATGGCACACATACATGCTCTCGCTTTCTCTCTCTCTGTCTTCTAGCACTTTTCAATGTCATTTTTCATGCTCATGGCTGTTTATCAAGTGGGTCGTCCTCACATTAACACGTTACTGCTCTATCCTCTCTTCTCCTCCTGGAGCCACCGTGAATCTGCACATATATAAGTAGAAAGGGCATGCAGTGGGCAAGGAGATTGGCTGCAGGACTAATGGCCATTTCTCACGGCATGGACCTAAGCATGACACACTGAGAGAAGTTCACATGATATAGTATGATTTAGCCTATAGCTATATCACAGGCTAGTGTGTTTGTCTTTCAGGCTTTGCTTTTGAAGAAAACAGTACACAAGGCATTGCATATGCTTTACACTATATGATATTAGACTTCACCGAAAAATTTGCTGAAATGGTGCTCAGTTATTATTAATTATTGTTGGTGTTCAGTTATTATAAATGGTTCGTATCTATGTTGAAAACAGTTTTGCTGCCTAACATTTTTGTGGAAACTATGGCACATTTTTTTTTCAGTATTCTTTGATAAATAGAAAGCTCAAAAGAACAACATTTATTTATAATAGAATCTTTTGGAACATTATAAGTAAATGTCTTAAATGTTTTCCATTTTTGATTAATTTAATACATCTTTGCTGAATAAAAGTATTAATTTCTTGAAAAAATAAATATTAAAATAAAAAATTACCATAAAAATATAAGCCAGCAAAAACTATTAGAATGATTTCTGAAGGATTGTGTGACACTGAAGACTGGAGAAATGGTTGCTGAAAATTCTGCTTTGCCATTACAAGAATAAATTACATTTTAAAATATATTAAAATAGAAAACAGCTATTTTAATCATTTGATAATATTTAATATTTCACAAATAAATTAATGCAGCCTTAATGAGCACAATATACCTTGTACATATACATCAGCATTGAACACAAATATGCTAAATATATTTCAGCATTTAGTCATATTTAAGCATATGAACCTTCCCCCATTTATGTGCACTGTGGACTAGAGCTGCTCTAATCCATGGTGACATGACATTGAGGCCATAATCAGCAGTGTCACCCATGCAACATGCAGCTAAACTGGTCAGAAAAAGAGAGAGAGAGTTGGAGGTTAGAGGAAGAGATTAAGAATGAAAAAGACAAAGAGAGGCAGAAAAAATAACTTCTCATCATCCATTTCCTCCACACATCATTTCACCCCCATTATTGCCCTATATCCAGTACTGTCATGCCTCCATTTGAAAGATGCCAGCCCTTTCAAACACCCAAATTTATGTACACTATCATGCACACACACACACTCCATATCAAAAAAAGTCAGTCCATCTGTCTGAGTGTTTGCAAGTAACCTTATCATCAGTCTCAGCTCATGATAAAATTTCCCCTTCACACTAAGACTTCACTCATGCGTGGATGAGAGGCAGTGACATTGGAAAATTCAGCATTGGGAATGATGCTTCCATTGATTTTTTTTTATTGCCACCTCTTCTGACTTGTAAATACCTAATACAATATCAGCTGAAGATATGTCACTATATATTATAATTATAATAAAGGCCAGTGTTGGGTGTGGAAGCTGCAAGAAAGAAGAAGCAGTCATTCCACTTCCACCTCACCCAGTGTGTGTTCAGGTTGTATTAGGCATTAATCTATGTGATATAGGTTACAGACTGAACTGACCGGTGGGGTAGGAGGACAGATAACCAGCAGGAATCAGACAAGCTGCTTGAAACAATGTGTGAGACAGCAATCACGGGGAAAACGCAGAGGCAAACGCATGTGGGTGGGCTTGGAAACACACGCTGAGTAGTGTCACGCTCAAACACACAACTGCAAGCTGCTGAAAATAACTTTGAAACCGTTGAAATACATTTTTGAGGAGTGCTTTACCTGTATTACTCGAGTCAGTCTTTTAACTTAAACTATCAATAGAGCACATATCTAAAATAATTTCTTATAATGTGCATTGTAATATCAGAATGGCTGATATGTATGAAACATTTCACCAATGCTGGCTTTTTTGTGCTTATCAAACTGATATCCGCATATTCAAAGGCGTACACCTCCATGTTAGCCTGTCTAGTTACTCAAAGGCAGCGGCGCTACCACAGTAATTAGTCAAATGACTGTGGAGGAGGATCCCGCAGTAAAATGCTAAGAGGGAGGAAATACATATAAAGCAATTGGCTAGATAACTGAGAAAAGTTTTTCAACACTCCATCACACATCTGTGTGATTTTGATATGTATACTGTAGTCTCTTTAGTGAGTAAGTTCATAAGTTGGACCCCTAGGGGGCTCTATAGTGCATCTTAACATTTTGAAGTCTGAGGGTTTAATCAACTTTAAGTTAAAGTAGGCTACTTAAAATACATAATAGATAATCAAAAACATATCCAGATGAAGGATCTTTATACTAAAAACACAGATTTCCACAGCAGTCTGAATCTAATGTGACGGCTTTAAAGGTTTTAATAGCAGACCTGGGTCCAGACACAGTCAACCCTGTGAGACAGGGGAAATATATCAGCAAAATCATGCAGTAGCTGTCTTGGTGTCTGTTGCCATAGCAACTAACTAACCATTCGACACATGCTCTGCAACTCTGTGTATACCACATAGATAATATGAGGGGGGAAAATGTGGTCAGGTTCCCGACGGCTTCTTCGTGCACTTCCCTTTTATATAAACAACTTCAGGTTTCGCTTAGATTTATTGGCAAGGCCTATTTGTTGTGTGAATGTGGCAGCTAGGGAGGGGTGGGGCATTCTCCATTTAGCACGCTTCATTACATTCCAGACAGATTTCGTATTCTGACTAGTGCAAAGACACCCGTAGGTCAATCTGCCAGCATATTTCACAGCATAATGAATACTGGTGCTTGGGTTGGGCGCAGGAACAGGTCAGACCCTGACTCAGACAGCTTTAGTGTCTTAGGTCTCATGCTAGGTCAGCAGCACACATAACAATAAATCAGCAGGACTTTTAAACAGCCCTTATGGAAAAAAATCCTCATAGTTCTTGGGTAAATTAACTTTGATATTATGGCATCAACACTGACAAATCCAACTTCTATTTTGCCAGGTACACTGTTTTAAAGCAACTGCAAGTAGTTTTGCGTATTTCTGCGACTTTAGAGCCCCCTACAGTTAAGTGAGTGAAATTCACTGTCGTAAATATTTCACTGTCATGATAACAGCTGTACATGTGTATTTGTAGCTGCATGGTGTTTCGTACTGCTCACCAAACTTCCTAGCAGACATTTGAAGGAAGCATGGGAAAGAAACAAAAGCCATTCACCTTATTTGAGGTTAGTAAATCAGAAGATTTTGAAACCGATATTTCAAGGTAAAAATGTAGCTACATTCCGTTGTTTAAATGTTGAATTATCTAGTGCACAAATTTGGATTTATACATTTACATTTACATGTTGCACTTGAATAATTTAATTTTGTTTGTTTGGTCAAAACATTTTGGAATTATGTGGATTATTATGTGGATTATTGGGAATTATTTAATTGTCATTTAGAAGTAAATGATAAAACAATAAAACATGTTTTATTTTTAAATGTCACCATTAGCATGATTAGTGTTACTTTTGGTTAGGTTTGCTCAATTGAACATATTCAACACTAATAAGAAGTTTTAAGTTAAGTGGATTTAACCACACAGTAGTTTTGAAAACCAGTTTCATAAAATTAGTATAGTAGTTTATTTGACCCCATAATTTTAACTTTCATCAAATACTTAATGTACTTGTTTATATTTAGGTTTTATATTTATAAAGGTTTATATTTATATTCATAAAGATTTTATATTTAACTATATTTAATTTAGGTGAACAACCAGTCTAATTTTTAAAAATTGGCACAACTGTTGAGAAAACTCAAAAATGCTTTGCATATGGTAGCATTAATTCATTAATTAATTCATCTTAACTCAACTTTATAACATCTACAGACATGATCTGAAACTATGAACAAAATTACCTATTTCTAGATTTTATTTCTAACTTGACTTTTTAGGATATGTTGATCTTGGGAGAGATAGAAATAAGAAAAAGACTCATAGGGCATGAGGTCACCTGAGCCATTGGGCCATTTATTGATGGTTGATTCACAAGCTTGGTTGATTTTTTTCTGCTTTATACACTTGCTTGTAATTTCTGGAATGCTTGTAATAGGAACATCAAAAGACAGTTCTTATGGCAGTGTTTATCAGTACAAAGGTCTCAGCATCATCATAACAGCTGATCTGTAGGTCAAAAATAATGTTATATATTTTAAATACAATATATTAATATCCATATATTCCATTTACACATGCAAGATAATAATTTATCTCAGGTTTGTGCATAAAGTAAATATAGTAGCTGGAAATCAATGTTTTCGAAAACGTTGTTTTTTTATTAGCAATACTGTGTTTATTCCCATAGTTTTGCTCTGACTGCACATCAGTGGCAAAACTGCTCCGTTTGATGTCTGAGGTAAAAATCATATGGACTGAGGTGATACGAAGGTGGGAAACGTTGGCTGAATGGAAGCAGTTTAAACTTTACACAATCACAAATACACAGACCAGTAAATGACATTAAAGAAAAGGAAGGTGAATGGGAAAATCGCGCGAGCATAAAGATCTATGCGCTTGGCTGCCGAGGGGATGACAGGTTTAGGAGGTGGCGGCTTCTTGTTGTTCTTGGCTTGCGATTTACCTAAAGCATTACCAATTTCAACGGGTTTGCCGTAGCAGTCAAAGTTTGAGAGTTCAAAGTCCCGTGGCAGAGAGCCTACGATGCTGAAGTCATTGGAGCGCAAATCTGACTTGGAGGTGCATACCTTTTTGCACCTTGTCTCTGTCACCTGAGAGGGATAAAGAGGGAGAGAGTGAGAAAAAGATGAATAAAGAGAAAACATGTCAGATCTCTGCAACAGCTGGTGCGATTTTTACTGAAACATTAAAGAGATAGTTCACCCAAAAATGAAATGCTTTCATCACTTCCTCATCCTCAAGTTGTTCCAAACCAGTATAACTTACTTTATTCAATGAAAAACGAAAAGAGTTATCCTGAAGAATGTCCAAGCTGCTCTCCACCTTACAATGAAAGTAAATGGTGACCGACACGGCTGTCTCTGGTCTCCTATCCCCAAAAACATAGTAATAATTTGTCTAATAAATCACTACCAATGGTTTTTTTTTTTGCCATTAAAAATAATAATAATACAATTAAACAAAATTATAAATAGTAATAAATAAATAGTACATTTAGAAAATTGTTCCAAAAATGTAATATACAAATTTTCCTGTTGAGTTAATTGAAAGAATAACTGATTTTATTATTACTCATTACATTAGTGTTTTTCAGTGTGTGAATTAGGGTTAGTTGTGTTATTATTGCAAATATGTGTAGTATGTAATATGTAGCTTCACTGAAGAAAGAAAATCATACTGGTTTGGAATTATATGAACATGCGTTATTGATAACAGGATTTCATTTTTGATTTAACTATCCCTTTAATTTCACACTTTCAAGGTTTTTTAATTTGTATAATTAGGAAATGAACAAATGATAGCTGACAGGCGGATCATTTATGCATTTTGATACTCATTCAGGCATCAGACATGGACAACTCACACCAAATCTGATTAAATGTTTCCCTCAGACTTTTGTCCCTCAAGTAGAGGCACATACACTCTCTATCTTTTTTCTTTTTGCATTCTCCTTTCTCTTGACACTCTAGACTTGTGGGAGAAGGAGATTTTGAGGACAGGCAATTATGTTAGGCTCTTCCTGAAGCCCTAACAGGGCAGAGGCAGTGTAGCATGGCCCTCCCACGCAGGAACAACAGGAGAAGAAAAAAGTAGTGTGAAAAAACACCTACCTTGCATCAAAATAGAACAGGACATGACAAGCATTACGAACTGATGTGACATCGCACTGTCTGTTTCTCTCTCTCTGACTAACGGAGCAGAGGGATGTCTGGATAACTGATGTCTGATGGTCTAATGCCAACTTGTCTGTTGTATTAGTTCTGGATGTGTGGAAAGGGGCAGAAGCCATGCAGTGCTGGACCGCACTACTTCCCACTGGGCACACAACACTTAAATCCTCAAACAGCTTGATATCTTTTCTAGTGTGTGGGGACACAAGCACAGATTTAGGAAACTGTCGGTCAAATGCAGTATTGGAGCATTCATGTGCTTCTGATAAATGCTGCCTGCTCAAAAGCGTTGAGCATGTCTGAACAGCCGTGAGATGGCTAGAGAATCAGTGGCAGCAAGCCTTGGGACGCGTCCAAACAGCTCTAATTCAGAGCAATGAATAGGGCTTTCTTGGAGGTCGGTGACGTTCAGGGGTTGTGCAAAGAGCATGTGGGTTAATTTGGGGTCAGATGTTCTTCTGGTAGCTAGCTGCTGAAGGTCCAGTCTGGGAGTAAATGTGTGACAGTGGTTGAAAACACACCGCATCCTTAAGACTCCCTCTGGGACCAATTTAAAGCGTATAATAGACTTGAGTAGAACACATTATTCAGCCTATTTCTCCTGTCTGTCAGGCTATCCTTGCCTTCAAGCTCCTCTTCCAACTGTTGCTATAAAGCTGTCTGTTTTCTGAAGAACATGAAGTACTGTGATTATCCCACCTACACTTTTGCATGCAGACCTAACATTAGCAGTGCATGATTTTAGATTATATAACCACAGGGACAGCAATGCAACTGAGTACAATAAAGCAGAATTGAAACAATGAGCTCTTTGAAAAGGTTAAATCACCCATTTAAACATTATGTGTGTCCCCATGTGCTGCTTAATTACACGGTCTCTATACGGCATACTGTTATGGAATAACAGTATGCCGTAATGAATACAGTAACGTGTTAAAATATATAATAACAAATTAACAATATATTACAGTAATCAACATTTGAAGTGAATCAAAACCTTTCATCAAAGTTGTCCTAAAATCAAAACAATACCCGTTCTTGTCTTAGGACAACTTTGATGAACTTTTTTGATCAACTTCAAATGTTGACTATCGTAGGTAAATTATTATAAATGTAATTTAATTATTTATTCATATGTTTATATATTAATATACTGTATACACTAATGTTCAAAAGTTTGCGGTTGGTAAGATTTAAGCCTTGAATGCTCACCAAGGCTGCATTTTTTTGGTCAAAAATACTGTAAAACAATACTAATATTACAGTTTAAAATAACAGTTTTCTATTTTAATATATTTTGAAATGTAATTTATTCCTGTGATGGCAAAGCTGAATTTTCAGCAACCATTACTTAAGTCTGAAGCATCACATGATCCTTCAGAAATCATTCTAATATGCTGATTTGGTGTACAATAATATTTTATCATAGTTGAAAATGGCTGTTCTGCTTAATATTTTTGTGGAAACCTTTTTCAGGATTCTTGATGAACAAGAAGTTCAAAACAACAGCATTTATGTCCAATATAAATCGTTTATAACATTAAAAATGTCTTTACTGTCTGTTTTGATTGATTTAATGCATTCTTGCTGAATAAAATAATTAATTTCTTGAAAAAATTGCCCCAAACTTTAGAACAATATTGTATATAAAATATAAGTATACAGATGATAAAACTAGGGTACAATAAGATTACCATGGTAGATGTTCATAAAACGGTTTTGACATGTCCAAATATTTGAGTACTATCATAATATGTACAATAAATCACTACCCCACTACCCATGGTGCTTTTTATTATGATTATGAGCTATGGTAGCAATACATTGTAATCAGTTTGTTTAAATACAAAGTCGTCTGGTAGTTTCTGACCTGTAGTGTACTGACGTGAATAGGGGTGCTTCCCATGCCATTGATGGTGTTCTTGGCAGGGGTCTTTCCCTCCGCCTTCTCCTTGCTAGCCATCTTTGCTCGCTCTGCCTCCAACCGTTTAGGGCTGTTAAGCATCACCTGAACCACAGCGTATTCGACCAGAGAGGCGAAGCCAAAGAGCAGGCAGGCAATCAGCCAGATGTCAATCGCCTTTACATAGGAGACTTTGGGCAGTTCAGAGGCCAGAGACGTGCACTCAGAAGAGAGCGAGAGCACTGACAGTATCCCTGCAGACAGAGAGAGGTCATTAGATCAAATGAGCTGAGGATAGATGAGCTTACACATTGATCTGAAGTTGTTTCCAAAGATAATACTAGAGCAGACTGTAAAACATAATATGAAGGCATCTGTAACAGTATTAGATCAGTGGACAACAAATGCCATCCATATTTAACAGGTTTTCATCTTTTTCTGTTACATTACTGTTCAGAAGACAAAGATTGGTATAAGATTTTTTAAAGATGTTTTTGAAAGAAGAATCTTATACTCATCTACAGTATACTGCATTTATTTGATCAAAAATACAGTAAAAACAGTAATATTGTGAAAAGCTCAATGCTTAATATTTTTGTGCAAACTAGGCAACATTTTATCCAGGATTCTTTGATAAATATAAAGTTCAAAAGAACATCATTTATTTGAAATATAAATCTTTTCTAAATTAATAAACAATATGTGTGTATATTTTATATATATATATATATATATATATATATATATATATACTGACCCCAAACTTTTAAACAGTAGTATATATATAGTAATCGTTAATCATAAATGACACAAGCTTAGCAGAGGCCAAAACAATTACATTTGGTTAGAGAAATGTAAATTAAAAATTTAAAATATTTCAGTTATGATTATTATGAGTAAACATGGAATCATGCAGAAGCACTTTCCTGTTCCTTACTTGTTTGTTCCTGTTCCTTACATGTTTGTAAATGTTGTTATTTATTAATAATCTTACATCTTATAATATGCTTATATTTTAATATTAATAACATTTGTAAAATATGATTCAGTATTTAAATTAAATTTGTTGATTTCCCCACAAAATCTAGTTTTCATCTGGGCCTGTGCATGAATAATCTAAATGAATGCAAACACTCAAATATAAACCAAACACTCACAAAATGCAATAAATGACTGAACTGAAATGACCATGGACAGTAGCATTTTGAGATGGCTCTTGATGTAATCACATTATACTGTGACAGTGACAACAATGTGGAAAGAATGATGGTGGTACTGGAATCACCAATGAAATCGCAGAAAAATTGCATGCATTTATCAGCAATATCAGGGTATAATTGGAAAACACAAGAAATCATCACATTTCACGGCATCTTGGATAATCTTCATCGCATCTCAGATAATCCTCTCTCACTGACCTCTGTGGTTCCCATAGAGAATTAATGCCTGTGGGCTGCAGCTGAGGCTGATGGAAATATCCTGGACATGCGTTATATTTCCTTGGAGATGCCTTTAGGTAAGCAATTGATGAAAAGAAGCTAGAGTGCTGTAGGGGATAGAAAAGATCACCCTAAACCTCCCGCAACGGCGACTTTGAAAAGATTCATTGGTGGATGTTACATTGATGAAAACGGGGAATGAAAATGTAAAGGATGTGGCTGGTTATGGGGGTGCAGGACTCCACAGAGACATGAGATGAGGTGCTGATGCTTGTGGCGGGACTGATGATTGGAAAAAGTACCCAGGGGCACCCGGGCAGCGCTGGCATCAGGGTTGATCCAAAAAGAGAGCCAGGAGAGCACGACGATGAGCAGGGTGGGAGCGTATACACCCATCATGTAGAAGCCCACCTGCCGCCTCAGAGTAAAAATGACCTCCACACACGTGTAGTAGCCTATTATACAAAAGTTCAAAAGGTTGCTTTAAATGGACATGGTTTTTCCTGGAATCGCATCTAATGGCTACCTCTTGAACAAGGCTGGAGAGAGCTTATGTACATATTAGTGCCATTCATGGAAAGTGGAAAGCTTTTACCTGTCCCAGCGTAGAACTTGGTGCAGTTGCCATATTCAATGTCCTCTTGCTTAATATCGAACTGAGGCAGAGCAATCTCATCCATCTGTACAGGGTCTCCAGACTGCCACATGAACTGCAGGTCATCTGTGGTGTAGCCAACTAGGCACACATTAAATAAGATAAAAAATAATGTTACAAATAACAATAATAACTTAGACTCCAAGAAAAGTCTAAAAACAGGGCACAATGTACTGTGTTAATATGAAGGAATATTCCGTATTGATTTTTTAGATGTTTTACCCGCATTTTGAACCACAAATTGCATTGTGTCGGGTTTTAGTGATAAAGAAAGAGTCCATAAACTTCCCAGTACCTTTTCTGTTTTTCTAATGATTTTTATTATTATTATTATAATGTGTACTAGCCTCATACTTCAGTGATTGACTTTTTAAATTAAATTTTAGATTTTTAAACATTATATTTATAGTGATCGGGCCTACCAAGAGCACTTTCTTGCAAAATATATATTATATATAACATTAAATATATAACAACATCAAATTTTCTAAAACACTCTTTTCTTAAAATCTTTTCAGGTCTAGTGACAGATTTTACTGTATATATCCCTTTATATTTTCAAGTTCTTTATTACACTAGGAACCTTTTATTGTTTTCACATCAAATACTTATGAATACAATCATTTATATTCACGTACAGCTCTCAAGCTGCATTTTGCATCGCTGGGTGTCCATGGGGAAGAGAGTCAAGTCCAGTGGACAAGAGAGGGTAACAGACAACCTGAAAAAGGACAAAATAAGCTAATTTGAGACAATGAATCATGCAGCAGCCTGGTGAGTTTGATTCAGAGTAGTAATTTTGAATGGGGCATTGTACATAGCTATATATGGTCACCTAAACATTATATCGATTTGCATTTTAAAACCGTGGACATTAATAAGGGGTAAAATAGAAAAATAACAGATTCCACTTACTGCATTTAAAGATTCATGCAGAATATATTCAGCAACATTGCAAAGATTTCTACCAAAATAATTTTATCACCAGGTTGCATCACTTGAAAGTCAATCCAAATTTAACAGATTTCATAAATGCCAGAGACATAAAAGGTATTTCGTGACAGTGGGATAAATTCTTCATACAGTTCCCTTTATTGTGCACAGCAAGCACACCAAGGCATATTTATTTAAAACACCATTAACACATGAAAGGTTTTTGGTTTTCTGCCGTAATCTGACAAGCACGGTCTCAGATGCAGCAAAGAGCTACTTTTTACACCAGCGAGGCCACACAGCACTTGAGTGCACGAACTGAAGCACTGTGCCAAGATATTTTTGTAAAGGCCTGGGAGAGGTTAGAGAGATCTGTTTTTGTTTTAAATGTATCTTTATGGTGCATTATACAAATTATCTGAGAGGAAGAGAGAAAGAGAGAGACGATGTAAGATGGGGTTGGACAAGAAAAGACAGGGCACACAAAGATGCAAAATAAACATTCCTTATGAAAATAAACATTGCGTTCATCATATTATCTTGCTCCAAACAATGTTTAGTTATGAAAAATGTTAATTATTATTATTATTTATTTATTTATTTGTCACTTATAATGTCCAATATACTGGACATTTTGACTTACGCATATACAATTTTAGTATCACTGAGATAGTATTATATTTTGAGTTTTTTTAATTATTTTTCTATTTTTCATTTGAATTTTAAAGTAAAGTTTTAGCAATTAGTTTTTATTCATTTTGTTGTTTTGGTATATAATTTTCATAACTGAAAATGCACTTTTTTGGCCTGGGCAACTAGCATATATATATATATATATATATACTGTATATATATATATATATATATATATATAGTTATTATGTAATGATATAGTGTCATTCTGGCATGCTGTTATTTCTGAAATCTTTTTAAAGCTGACTAAACAAGAACAATTCAGATCTTTGCACAAATGTCAGAAGAATGTTCCAATAAGAAATAAGATTCTCATTTTTATTTCCAGTACACTGGACGATTACAGTAGAATGAAGATGTTATGGGAGCAAGAGGGATAATAAAATGTGATAATAAGGGAGGATGTAAGATGTGTCAGATTCATGAAGAAAAAAGATAGGACAGATATGAAATGTAAAGTATATGCACGTAAAGTATTTGAGGAAGTTGAAGGTAGATGGACGAGTGAAGGCAGAATTTGTTTCAGGGAGGTATAATATGAAATAAACACTCTTGTTTCTTTTTGAAAGACTCTCATTAAGACAGTAATCCCCTGTCACACACATACCCAGAGATAGAGCAAGGCTTCCTGGGCCGATGCCAAAAGTGAGAAAGGACTCACGGAAGACCACCCAGCTCATGCTGTGATCCGGTTGGCATGGAAAAACACTATGGAAATACATTTGCCTAAGACATAACAGAGTAAAAACGTGATGCTCTTAAACACACTTCCCATCCAGATTGAAATGGCTCTCTGCCAGTGTTTAGATTTTATCTTTACCCTAAACTGGACCATGTCCAATGCCCGGCTGGCACAGTGACCACAGTTACAACTCACGTTTGTGTGAAGCATAACGGCTTGTGGAATTGTTTACCTTTATAAATAACTGTTTGTTTAAATCTATCCGTGTTGATAAACTTTTGCTAAATAAAATAATATTTCCACAGCACTACATGGACAGATCTACAGCAGGTGTGTTCACTGGCTACTAGAAGTCTCTGAGAACTTCATTCACTCAGCAGGACCTGCAGATAAAGCAGTGGAAAGTTAATGACAGAGGTGTCCACCACTGCTAAAGGACTGAACTTTCACATGGGATCAAATAGCAGAAGCTGTAATTTAGGTGTCAGTGGTGAGGTGAAATCCTAGGGTCAACAGATGTATCGAATCTCCAATTCTCAGATCACTTTAAGTCCCCTGAGGTTTATTAAAGGCATTAAGAAGAGCTTGGAGGAGGACTAAGTCACTGCTCCCTGTCATTCAAACGTGTATTTTCTGTTATTTTGATTATATATACTTTACAAGACACTTATTTTACTTGTTTTGGTTGTATCTATACTCAAATTAGTATGGAAGCCTGTTTCTACCTCAGACTTATTAAGTAATTAGGACTTCATTTCTTATAATTGTGAATGTATTTATTGCGATTTATCTCATAGTGTGATTTTATGTACACTACCATTCAAAAGTTTAAGGGCAGTTTGAAAAAAATAATACTTTTACATCCTCAGAAAGGATGCATTAAATTGATCAACGGGGACAGCAAAGACTTTAACATTGTTGCAAAAAAAAAAAAACTTGAACTTTCTATTCATCAAAGAAAAAAGTATCGGAGTTTTCACAAAAATATTAAGCACATTCAGCACACTGAAGACGAGTAATGGCTGATGAAACTTCAGCTTTGACATCACAGGAATAAATTACATGTAAAAATATATTTAAAAAATACTTATTTTAAATTAAAACTATTTTATTTTATAATTTTATTTTATGCAGCCTTAGTGAACATAAGAAACTCCTTACAAAAACATCAAATAAAACAATAAAATAAAAATAAAATAATAATCCTATGTACCCCAAACTTTTGAACGGTAGTTTATCTCACATGTGCAACATTATTTCTTGTAATTGCAACTTTAAATCTTGTAAGTGTAACTTCATTTCTCACAAAGTGACTTTTTATCTCGCAGCGTGACATTATAACTTATTTTAAACTTTGTCTCACAATCTAATATTTCATTGCTCGGTAAAAGGCTTCCATAAATTTGTGGACGTGCTGAACCATTAATTTCAACACCTTCAGATTAAACTCCAGCACAGTCATTTGTTCCACTTTAAAAGGCCTTGACATCTGATAAACTCTTGTGTTTGCTTTGTTTTGATTGCTGCGGTAAATAATGTGAGTAGGTGTTACCAGCGCTCAGACCTCATTTGTCACCATCCGCAAAGACAGAGGTTGGATACTTTGCAGGAAGAGAGCATAAAAGTTCACCTCATGCTGATGAGGACATCTCCGTTCCTGAAGATAAAGAGCAGGATGTTCTCCTGAGTGACGTCATGAAAGTTAGCGCTCTTTTCGTTGGCAAAGAAAAGATCTGGTTTCCACAGGCATTTGAACATCTTCGGGTCAACGGTGAGCGAGTCCGACTTGAAGTCCTGAGGAAGCCGGAGTCTGGGGTCGTTCCAGCGCTGTCTCAAGAATATGTTGACACGATAGTCCTAGGAAATACAAGCCAAAATATCCATTAACGTTCTCACAAATTCAATCAAGCCTGAAAAACCTGGTATTTTGTGACCATAAACTGGCTTCCGGGTGGGTGGGTGGATGGTAGTCTTTGTGTTACGTGACAGGAACTGTGAGAAGCCTTGATTTGGACACAAAAACAGCACATTAGTCCTTAGGGTGACAGAGGAGCCCAGGTGTCTTAGGCATCGCCATGGCAACCAGCCTCTGAGTGATGTTTTAAAAAAAATGCCTGTCTCTGAAGTATCCAGGCTCCAATAACGGCTGGTATTGAAGGCGCACAGCTGCGCCGCTTGGAGCTGCTCCTATTTACATTTCTAACTATCGCAAACATCAGAGGCGTGCGACGGGTGCTGCAATGAAGGCTCACGCTGTATGTGAGCACCTACACTAGGGAAAATACAGGGTTTGTTAAGTCAGATTGGCCCCAGCTTCCCTGCCAGCTTGCGTGAGCAAAAGGCTTTGAAGTGGCATTTTCTAGTGGGGCTTGTTTTGCTAGCGCTGATACTGTGAAGACAGATGACATGCTAAATAAAATGGCCACACTCCAGCTGCACTAGGTCAAGTGAATTTAGTTCCTAAATGTTATTGGGTGTGTTGTCTCTGCGTGTATGATTCACATCTTGGTATGTCCTGTTTTTAATTCGGGGCTCCGACCAGGAACATTCAGGATGTATTACACACACCATGGATGGCACTGTGTCATCCCAGCCAAAAGGGAACATTCTCAGAACATTCTGGTAAGGTTCTGTCAAAGTTGTAAACAAACGTTCTTCCAGTAACGTTAATAGAATGTTTGATCAAAGTTATCTGGTCTTTAATAATGTTCTCAAAATGTTAGCACAAAAACATAATTTACACATCAATATTGGAACTTTTTTTCTGAAACGTTTTAGTTGCTATTTTTTAAAGGTCACATATCATGAAAATCTGACTTTTTCCATGTTTAAGTGCTATAATCAGGTCTCCAGTGCATCTACCAACCCAGAAAATGTGAAAAAGAACAACCCAGAATTTTTTTTTGTAAGACTTTCTCTGCGAGCTTGTGAAAAAAACGAGCAGCTCAGATTTTGTTCCCCCCCATGACGTAGAAATGCGATCTTATTATAATATTTTCGCCCCTTAATCTGCAAGGTTCCACCCACGGCACCACCATTGCGTTTTTGCAAGCGACAGGGCATACCAGTTCTAACGCCATGGTATGAGCAAAGCATGCTAACTGTTCTGTCTTTGACTGAACAGAACACTAGAGAGCAGTGGATTTATTGATTTATTTAGGGAAGCTGGAGGGAAGGAATCCTCCGGTGTCTGGAGAGTGTCTGGCCCCGAGCCAGAACCAGCCCACCATACGCGGCCTACTCTAGTTCACCGGCCTTTAATATGGCAAGCCCAACGAACATTAATATGGCAAGCCCATCATACGTTCATGACGCCCCAGTGTTGGTTCCAGCCCCAGTGCCTGCTCCTCGTAAGCGCCTTCCAGAGCTCGCTCCAGTGTCGGCTCCAGCCCCAGAGATCGCTCCAGTGTCTGCTCCAGTCCCAAAACTCACTCCAGTGCCAGCTCCTCGAGGGCGCTTTGCTGTGCCTGCTCCTCCAGAGCACCCTCCAGTGCCAGCACCACGTAAGCGCTACCCTGATCCCCAGTTCAGCCCAGGAAGGGCTCCTGTTCCCGAGTATAGCCCACGGAGGGCTCCTGATCCCGAGTTCAGACCAGGGAGGGCTCCTGTTTCCCCGTTAAGCCCAGGGAGGACTCCAGATCCCCAGTTAAGCCCAGTGAGGGCTCCTGTTCCCGAGATTAGCCCACAGAGGGCTCCAGATCCCCCGTCAAGCCCCGGGAGGGCTACTGATTCCCAGTCTAGCCCAGGGAGGGCTCCTGATTCCCCAGTCAAGCCTAGGGAGGGCTCCTGATCCCCAGTCAAGTCCAGTGTCGGCTCCAGCCCCAGAGCTCGCTCCACCTTGCACCTCCAGAGCCGGCTCCTCAAAATCGCCCTCCAGAGTGCCCTTCAGTGTCCGCTCCTTCTAAACGCCCTCCAGAGCCGGCTCCTCAAAAGCGCCCTCCAGTGCATGCTCCTCCAGAGCGCTCCCGAGGATTCCTAGTTTTCCCCAAGAAAATTTTTTGGGGGCCATATACCCGTGGCCAAGCCAGCTAAGGCCACGGAGGATCAGCCATGGCCTCCTGAGTCCCCTGATCCGCCCTGGAGGCCCCCCCCGATGGTACTGTTACGGCGCGGGACGCGCCATCCGGGAGGGGGGGCGATCTGTCACGTGTATGTTCCCGTTTAGTTCCTGTTGTCCTTCCAGTTCCTTTTCCCATTAGTATCAACTGTTCCTTGTTATTAGTTATCCCCATCACCTGTCTGCCCCTCGTAATCAGCCTTATTTAGTTCTAGCCCGTTCTGTTCTCCCTTGTCTGGAATTGTTTATGTCCCCTCTTTGTGCTACGTGTGATTCCCTGAAGAAGAATATTAAACTCCTTTGTTTTGTACTCCTGGTCTCCTCGTTCCTCGCTCCATGCTCCTCACAGTAGCAACCCGTGACAGTATTTAGTTCTAGTACAGCCGCCTGAGAATCAGTAGAATCTATTATTCATACGATTAATAATATGCATTTTAATTTTTTTTCATTTGATTAGTACATTTCTTACTTAATGCTGCATTTAAGGATATCTGTACTGTATCTGAAAAATTTAAAGCAGTTTATTATACTATTTTATTTTTTTTATCTCAATGTCAGAATGCCTTTTCCGCTGGTCTTTAAAAAGTCTTATATTTAATTGTATCAAATTTAAGGCCATAAAAAGTACAATGGGGACGGAAAGACAATTTTCATATAGCTTAATGCGATGATTAAAATGAAAAAAGCTATGATTTTATTGGATAAATATGAGCGCTGCACGTTTCAAAGTCTATCTTTATGCAGTTCTGAAAGCGCCATCTGCTGGCAGAGAATTAATTAGCATTTTTTAACAGCCCTTCTGCTGGTTTAAAATAATTGATATTAAACCAGCACATAAACCATTAATATAATAATAGATACATTTGATTTTTTACTATTTTCTTAAAAATGGTTTGAAATTTGAAAGGCTGAAATTTGAAATTGTATTAATTTTATTATTTTTTTTTTTTTTTTGTGAAAACCTGTATCTGAACTGTAAATCATGATTTTTACAGTCATTTTAAAACATTGCCCCACCTCACTCATATGGCATAAATTGTATCTGTGCAGGTCTTAAAAACAGCCTTAAAAAGTCTTACATTTGAGCTTAAAAATCCTGCAGAAACCCTGTGTGCTATAAAATAAACACGATTACATAGACAAGAAAAACAATTAAAAATAAATATTACAAAGGTGTACGATACTTATATTTTTGTGCAAAAGATACAAATATTCCAGTTTTGGAGGCCATAATGTCAGCCATCAAACACTGAACTGGACTAGATCCAAAAAGCAACAGTCTGAATACAAAGAGGTCTGAGACACCATTACTGCATAAGTGGACCAAAAAAGGATCTGAGTCCTCTTTCAGGAACTGCGATAGTGTAAACACAAAGAAAACTGGGTCCTTTTTCACTTGGTCCACCTCTTGGTCCACTTAAAGGGGTCTGGGTTCGGTTCTTTTAAAGAGGACTCAAGTGTGAAAACACACTTAAACACCTCTGATTGGCCATTGTGTTCACATACTCAACAGATATGTCTGTGATTGGCTACAATGATCATCACTTCATACTCTTCACCGAGCGCTGGTACCAAAGTCAGTACTTTTGACAACACTAGTATATTACGCTGCTGCCACACATATAATATAAACATGCAATTTCTTTCCCAGCTGTTTACCCTCACAGACATAACCGACTGTTTTTGTAACTTGTGTGTTTTTAACATAAACTAGTGCGTATTTGACAGTTTAAGCACAATAAGACATGAAAGAGAGTTTAGTACTCACATGCCGTGTGCGTGCTTCGAATTTGTGCCCTCAGAAAACCGTTTGGCCTATCAGAAGTATAAACTAATATGGTTTTAAATGCATGATTTCAGTGCAATAGACACGATAATCAAAACCAAACAGATGTTTTTAGCAAAGTATCTGAGGTACGAGCTGTAAAGACACAGCCCTATTTTGGAAAAGAGGGCGGGGAGCAGCAGCTCATTTGCATTTGAAGACACATGCACAAAAACAGTGTGTTTCTGCTTCCTCTCAAAATGATATAATAAATTATCTGTGGGGTATTTTGAGCTGAAACTTCACAGACACATTCTGGGGACACCTGAGACTTATATTACATATTGTAAAAAGGGGCATAATAAATCTCTCATAAATGTTACTACTTGTTTTTGAATGTTTAGAAAACAATCAAAACTAACATTCCTATATTGTTTGCAGAATAATAAAATGGAATGTTCCCCTAAGGCCCATTCACATTAATAACAATAACTATAATAACTACATAGTGTATGCACCAATACACAATAACATTTGTTTATTATAAGCATGCATTGCAATTTTGTCTTCTGCCACTTTAAATGCTTGAGTTCTCTATTAAAGCAGGATGGATTCTGATTGACTGTCAATATTTTTATCATTCATTAGCTGAAAAAAGTTCCTGTGTGGCATTGTCATTATAGTTGTTGTGTGGACTCTTCTTTTAAATTTAGAACGATTTTTAAATTGTAGTTATCATTTATAGTTATTGGCCCTTTAGTGTTCACATAACCATGAAAAAAAATTGTTTAAACATTTTTTTAAAAATGGATGTTTTGAACATTCAGAGAACTTTCAAAAATAACATTGTCATAACTTAATTAAAAGGTTAGCAAAATATTCTTAGAACATAATTTTGTTAGGTGTAATGTTTACAAGTGTTGTTTTGTTGGACCTTCCTGTCCAAATGGTAATAAATTGCTATATAAGCTGTGGTAAGCAAAGTGGCCTACTTCTTACCAGTCATGCCTCTGGAGAGGTTATGAATAGCCTTTTTGTATTTCTGTTGTATACCACCTGTTCATTTTAAGGTTAACCACAGCAGAACGATGCAACAACAAAATGGGACCTCATTTCCAATGCTATAAAAGCTTGGTGTCACGCAACACTCCTGTAGAAGTGAATGCAAAACTATATTCAACCTATGATACCATGCAGTGCTGGGCAGAAAACATGGCCCTCTGATGTGTTTCCAGGGGAAATATTTTCAGTGGAGTTGATCTGAGACACTCTGGCATGATGGGTTGTTTATGGGTGTCACTGCTCATAAGGAGCCAGACGTAAGATTGTGGGGACTGGAGCTGATTTTTTTTTTCCTGGTGAAGTGGTAAGCCTAAAATAAAGCGCACAGTCATGAATCTAATCGTCTGTCTGGTAGGAGTTGTCTGACAATGACATTTTAAAAACTTTTTTTTTCTTTTTTTGAGACTGATCTGTGTTCTTTGTTGATCTAATCATTGATTTCAATATCAATGACATTTTAAGATTCAGAAAGTAAAAAAAGTAAGAAAAGAAAACAATTGAATAATCTTGAGGAGAATACAAGACTCAATGATCAAACGTTCTGGAAAATGTCACTTAACAGATTTGTGTTCAGCTTGTTTTGATAAACATCTATATTCAGGGAACTTTTTTGTTGTACGGTGAAATTACAAAGAAATTGAGTGATTGGAAATGACTCCGATTTATATGAAAAGGTAAATATGGAAAAGTGCTTAATTATATACACTACCATTCAAAAGGTTTGGGGATATGTTTTTTTTTTGTACTTTTATTTAGCAAGGATGCATTAAATAAATTAAAAGTGACAGTAAATGTCTTCATTTCTATTTAAAAATGCTGTTCCTTTTCATTTTCTGTTTATCAAATAATCCTGAAAAGAAAGCATCACAGTTAACCAGTTAACACCAAAAGAAAGAAAGAAAGAAAGCATATTAAAATTATTTCCAAACGATCAGGGGCCTCATGTATAAAACTTTATGTAGATTTCAAGCTAGATTTTGCGTACATACAAAAGTTTTCAGATTTATAAAGCCATGCGTACGCCTGAACCTGAGCAAAATTCCCTTTGTAATACCCAGTAAGTGGAAGATTGTGTGTACATGAATCTCCACCCCGTCTCCTCCCCGAAATAGCCATTTATGGAGCTTACAACGCCTAGTTTTAATATGAATAACGTCATCTGCATATCCTTTCCATGCATATTCCATCGCATATAAATGCGTTTTGAGACATCACTATTCTAATTTATGCAATTTGCCTAAAAGGTAAACACATATTTTAGAATGTTTATAGCCTGTATTTGTATGGAAAGAGATAGGCCTTATTTTTTTGCAGTGTAAATAGCTGTCTGACTCACCGCGTCAATAACAAAACATTTTGAAAATAAAACGCGCATACCTTACAGTTTCCTTCAAATTCTATGTTTTAAATATGATGTTTGTCACAATATTGGGAAGAGCATGAAAGGGGTTATCATTAGGCTACTGTCTGTGCACGACACCTGTGAACAGAGGTTCTACTGTCATCAGACCAATGGACTGTTTGATCAACGAGCTCATCCTTATGTCTGTCGTTACCGCCTATGTTCCAAAGCCATCAAACAAAGTGAAGTTCACAAAAATGATCATTATTATTCGCACAAAAGTATTTTCAAAGAACGTGAGTTTTGCTATTTAGAACACAATTTAAAGTGCGCACATATTTACGCCTATAGTTTATTTTTCATAAATCCCGGTATGTGTGTGGAAAATTGCGTACATTTCCATGCCCATTTTGTGCATACGCAACGTTTATACATCAGGCCCCAGGTGACACTGAAGACTGCTGAAAATTTATCACAGGAATAAATTATATTTTAAATATGTTAAAATAGAAAACAGTGATTGTAAATCGTAAGAAATTACAGTTAAATAAAATAAATCCTTGGTGAGCATTAAAGATTCAAAAACATTTGTACCAACTCCAAGCTTTTGAATGGTAGTGTTTATATATTTATGATTATTATTTCTATGTTTATTTATTGCTATATTTTTGTGTTCACTATTTATGTGTATGGAAAGACAAAAGTGATGTACAATACCATAGTAGTCTCTTGGATGGACCCAAAGCTGTTGATAAAAATGTTCACACGATCCTCAACAGGAATGCCTAAAAACAAAACACAAACACACTTTACATCTCAGCACATCAATCACATCCATCAAGCAAGACGCACCAAAAGTCATCCTAGCATGACTTTCTCACGGATTATTACCGGATTATACGGGTAACATTAACTATTTGGTTTATACCATGAAACATATGTTTTCACTTTATGTATACTAGGTGGAAAGCATGGCATTATTGGAAAATGCTTCAAATACTCAACTGCTATTCCTATTCCCAAGATTATAATGTTGACTTTAATGACTGCCAGTAGCTTTCATCTTGCCCAGATATGAAGAGCAGCTGGCTGGCCATAGAGAGTAATAACACTGAATCATACAGTGAGCTCTTAACACTCAGACCACATCAAGGCCCACGTTTACGCCGAATGCCAGCGAGTAGGGAGGCGACAGAGGTTCTCACTTTTTACAACCTGCTTCATTATATCAGGAAAGGCTGCCAACAGTAGCATAACCTAGAATCACGTATCTGCCACAATGTATATACATACATTAAAACATGCTTTGTAATGTTTAATAATTGGACATAAATGTATTCATTGACAGGTGGGCACGCATAAGACGATGAAATAATAGTAACAAGGAAGGGAAACTTGAACCATCTTTCATACACTAGTACACTCAAGTGTATTGCAAGTGGTGTCTAAATACGTTTTTAAATGCAAAGAGAGTATGTTAAAAACACATTTTAGCAGTGTCCCAAAATAGCACAGTTGAGTACACTTAGATGATCTTAAGTTTATCTTAAGAAGTACTAAAGAATCATTTTTAGTATATTAAGTAAAATAGAGCACTTTATGAAAGTGTAATTTTTTCACCTGGGTAACCAGTACCAGCAGAGGTATATATTTATACAAGGAAGGGAAAGCTTGTTAAGAAAAACGTCTCTAGGTTACGTATGTAAGCATGGTTCCCCGAGGGAACGAGACGCTGCGTCGAGATTCGCTTTGGGAACGCCCTTGCGTGACCGCGTTCTGAAGCACTTGTCAAATCAGTCCAATGGAGCAGCGAGACGTCACGAGCGGGGTGACGTAAGCACCAGAAAGCATAAAAGCGCATCCGGCAGAGCGCAAACCAGCTTCGATGAAGTAGCGCCTGCAGGGATGCAGGGAGTATGGCAAAGAGACGCAGCGTCTCGTTCCCTCGGGGAACCATGGTTACATATGTAACCTAGAGACGTTCCCCTTCAGGAACTCGAGCTGCGTCGAGATTCGCTTTGGGAATGAGAATACCCACTGCGCCATACTACCAAGTCCCTGCCTGTGTGTGTATCTTACGAGCACATCACGAAGAGAGAACTTGGGAACCTGGGGTAGATGCCAGGTCTAGGTTGTAAAAGCAGACAAAAGTGTGCGGAGAGGACCTGCCCACCGCAGCACAAATGTCCTGCAAAGCCACACCCAAGCTGAAAGCCTTGGAGGCCGCCATACACCTGGTCGAGTGCGCTCTGACCCCCATAGGCGACGGGAGGCCAGAGGACTCGTAAGCTAGTGAGATGGCCTCGACCACCCACCTACTCATAGTCTGCTTGGTCGCCGGAGATCCTTTCTTTGGCGTACCAAAGCAAACAAAAAGCTGATCTGCCTTACGCCACGGGGCAGCTCTGTGTGCGTAAGCGTCCAGTGCTCGAACTGGACAGAGCAGATTAAGCCTTTCTTGGCCTACTTCCTGGTACAGAGGAGGACAGAATGCCTGAAGTACTATGGGCCCTGGTGAAGAAGTGGGCACCTTAGGGACATACCCGGCCCTCGGGTAAAGGAATGCCCTAACCATGCCTGGAGCAAATTCCAGGCACGAAACAGAAAGTGCCTGAAGATCCCCGATCTTTTTTAGTGAGGACATAGCGAGAAGAAAGATGGTCTTGAGCCTGAGCAACTTGACCGAAACTTCTTCTATGGGTTCAAAGGGGGCATTGCATAAGCCCTCCAGAACCACAGCCAGGTCACATGAGGACACCTTGCTGTGCTGTACCGGCCTCAGCCTCAGGATTCCATGGAGGAAACAAGTGACAAGTGGGTGTCTTCCCAATGATTGACCACCCAGAAGGGCGTGGTAAGCAGCTAAGGCCGCCACGTAGACCTTCAGAGTGGAGGGAGATAACCCTGCGGAGAAT